CGCCCTGCCCTTTCCGGCCCTTTCCGCCCTCGACTTCGCCAGCCTCTCCCCGCTCTCTAGTCCGGAACTGCATCATCCGTTCCCTTTTTCCGGGGGAGGATTTCTTTCGGCTGCACCGCTGGGGAGCAATTTTGGTGTCCCTCCTTCGGCTGGAAGTGCGTGCGCGCTCCTTCCGGCAGCGGCTCCGCTATGGCAGAGGGGAGTGGGCCTGCCCTCGACGCCCGGCCTCACGGTGAGGAGGGAAGAGGGCTTCCAGGCCTCGAACCCCTTCCCAAGCCGGCCTTGCGTGGGGAAAGCGAGAAGGGGCGCTGGGCGGATGGGGGACGCGCCTCTTTTCTGAGGAGAGAGCGGGGCCGCGGCGCCCCCGAGCGTTGGGGCGAGCTGGGAGCCTCGAGACTCCCCGGCTTGTATCGCTGCCCCTGAGAAAGCAGCGGCGGCGGCTGCTGCAAAGTGAGGGGTGGCCCGCCCCCCTTTTCCAGCCTTGGTCCGGCCCCACCTGGGCCCTGCCCTCGAAGCAGGAATAACCACCACAACAACCGGAGAACCAATAACAATAATATTTGAGGCCTTGAATTTTTTATATGTATGTCTAAATATATATGTAAATGAAAGGGATAAAAATCTAATAATTTATTCAGTTTACGTGCTGTGTGACTCCCAGTACTGGGCAGTTTACAAATGTTTGAACGCATTTAAAAACAAGGAAAGAACAAAACAACAGAGATGGCAGAAGTGACATAAGCGGGCGGGAACGAAGAAGAAAAGGACCTGGGCGAAGAGCCAGATTTTCGGGGCCATTTGAATCTTGGGGGAAAAGATGGTGGGGATGGAAAGAAGGTTTACCTCTAAACAGATAAGGGGGGGGGATGTGATAGGATACCATGTTTGAGGCCCCTGAAGGGCCTCGCGGAGAAGGGTCTCTGTCCTTCCAGAGAAAAGGAGGTCCCCTTCTGTGGATGTTTCAAACCAGGCTGGACAGCCATCTGCTAGTGCTGGTTTAATCTTGACCTGAGCAGGCCCCCTTTTTCTCACCAGCCACCCCCTCGTCTTTCTGCACCCGGCCTTTTTCTCTCCTAGACTCTTCCCCTGTCTTACGGGAAAAAATGCTAAGTTTTCAGCCACAGTCCACTGCCTTCGTGCTCACCTGTGGCTCCTCGTCTTCCTCCAGTGTGAATATTCTCCTTTCTCATGCCTCCCTCAGACTGTCCGGGCACTGGCAGCGATGAGGCAGGCAAGGCTGATGCCTGCCAAGGATGCCCCAACCAGGGCTTGTGTTCCTCGGGGCAACTTGCTGGCCCCGACCCAGGTATGTGTTATGCCACCGAGCACAGAAAAATGGGCTTAGGATGGAGCCTGTGCCTGGCAGCCTCCAGTGTTTCCAGAGTGGCTTTTTGCATTTGCCTTGGAGCTGTGGGAGGGATGGGACCTAAGAGGTGAAGGCAAAGCTTCATGGCAGGCTGGGGGCTAGGCCTGTTGCAGGGTCACTCAGCATGAGAGGAAGGCACTGTTCCATATCATATCTGACTCTCTCCATCCTCAGATACAGATACGTTTTATTTATTAAAGCATTGTCTGTTTTTTTCCCCTCCATGAAGCTCTTGAGGAAATCAAGGAAAAAATGAAAACGGTGAAGCACAAGCTCCTGGTGCTTTCTGGGAAAGGAGGCGTGGGTAAGAGCACGTTCACCGCTCTTTTGGCACACGGCTTAGCAGAGGATGAAACTACCCAGGTGAGTGTCTTCTATATAATACTCTTCCCTAAAGTTTGTTGTAAACAGTGGCCATGACTACGGAGACGAGGAGGAGCAAACAATTTCTCTGTGATGGCCTGTTGGGGAAGGCCAGCTACATAAATAATGTTGCTTGGTAGCAAATAGGAGTGATGACGGAAAGCTGTTTTTAATCTGGTTTTCTGTCTTCTTGAGTGAAGCAATGGTTTCTTTTATTATGTCCTTTCCCGAAGCCATCCTTCTGATCAGTGAAAGGGTTGCAACAATCCCATACGTATTTCTGTGGTAGCTTTGAAAGTAAAATTGCAAACCCTGCCTCTCTCCTCCCACGCCAGATCGCCGTGCTGGACGCTGACATTTGTGGACCATCCATGCCGAAAATCATGGGCCTCGAGGGAGAGCAGGTGTGGCTTTGTATGTAGGGAATCGTGCTTTGCATTGCTCTTGGTCTCGGGTTGTCAGGCCTTGTGCCCTGCAGACTTTTTTTAAAATAAAGCTTTCTCTGTAAGACTAAAACAACATGGGCACCCTTTGCTTTTGGTTCAGAGGTCCTGCAAAGTGGACACCAGCCTTGTTTGGAAACTAATGCTAAGGTGTACTTAAGAGACTTTCTGAGAACTATCTCAGGACAGAAAATGCTGTTGTGGCAAACTTGCATGTTTCTAAAATGGGTTGCCTGTGCTCCTTTCCCCTGATTTGGGGTGATGTTTGTTGATCATCCGTCTCTTATCAATATCTAGTCTTGTGGAGTTTATATGTTGATTTTTATCTAACTACCTGAATTTCATCGGAAGCATTTCATGGATTATGTGTTGCTTTGAATTACAAATTTAGAGCCACAGCAAATTATTGTGATGCTGAGTGCTATGTACATATTAACATTTTGAATCCTTCTTTTCAGGTTCATCAAAGTGGATCAGGGTGGTCTCCAGTGGTGAGCTGCTGTTGCTGTTTTTTAAAAAGCTGTATGAGTATTCCTGCTGATTGCCTCCTTTTCTGCTGATTGTCACTTTCAGACAGAAAAAAATGCAAACTACGTTTCATTCAAGGAAGGGCAAATATTAGATGGCCTCCCCTGTGTTCCCCCTATTTTGGGTGCTGAAGTCCCCTATGCTAGCCTATTGCTTGAGTACAAATTATTTGCTTTTTGGAGAAGTTTGGGCTAGATACAGGGATAATTTATCTCTCTGTGAACTCTAGGAGTGATAAGGCTACAGTTGCTTTGTGCCCAGAAATCATCACACGTTCAAGGTTTTCTGCTTTGTCAATTGTGTATGTGCTTCTGTCTTCCAGTATGTTGAAGAAAACCTAGGTGTCATGTCGGTGGGATTCCTGTTGAGCAGCCCTGATGATGCTGTTATTTGGAGAGGACCAAAAAAAAATGGTTTGTATCTCTCAGCACCTACGTAGAATATGAGCTGCTGAATTACATCTGAAGGGCAGTTGCTTCTCCATTTCTGGAACTTCCACAAGTTTCAACTTTAATTTTTATTTAACCTTTAATTACAGAGCTTGATAACTAGTTGGTAATACTTTTCTTGTCTGGTGGCCATGTGAAAATGAATTAAGAAAAACACACACTGCAGCATAGAGACACATTTGATGTGGGTGATTAGGGTCAATTTTAGTCCCCCAAACACCTACTTTCTCCCTTTAGATATTTTTATTTTTAATATATATAAATACAATTTTCACCTTACAACATTGAGTTTAGATAGCTTTTTAAACTCATTCACCATAACTCCATTTTCAGACAAACCTCTTGTGGAGGTTATAGGGTTTAGTCATGATTTAACTTCCTTAATGGAGATGGCTCAGTTCTTCAAGCGTTAATGATACATTTCCTCTTTTTAGGGATGATTAAGCAATTTCTTCGTGATGTGGACTGGGGTGAAATTGACTACCTGATTGTAGATACTCCTCCAGGAACGTCAGATGAACATTTATCAGTAGTACAATTTCTCAGCAGTGCCAGAATAGATGGGGCAGTGATCATCACCACCCCACAGGTAAGATACAGAACTCTAGTAATAGAACTAAAACTGCAGTTCGGTTGGCCTGTAAAACCAAGCATGAGGCCAGCTCAGCTAATCTCGCAACCCCATTTTGGAATTCTCAACAGGACTAGCTGCTTTGATTTCAGCTGTTTATAACTGAGAGGTGTGACATGTAGATTGAGATGACAAAGAATTAGGAAAATTTCAAACTTTGCTGTTAGCAATAGAACATCCGCTGCTAAGTTACTCCATTTCATCTTTGGAGGTAGTTGTACAAGCTCTTCTTACAAGGTAATAGCACTGAACGTATTTTCTTGATATGAAAGAGTGCTAATCTCAAAGTGGTTTTCCATTTTTAATGGTTTCTGGAAGGAAGTAGATTTCTAGATTTTTCTTTGTTCAGTGGAAGATGGATGGTTGTAGATCAGTTCACTGTGGGAAATGTCCCCACAATGTGGAGCCCTCTTGCCCTTCCAGGCCCACCAAAGCAGCTTAGATTTCTAGTTCCACTTACTTAATTTGTGAAAACCTCCCCGCCCCAAGTACAGAACCTTTAGTTTGGCCCCATGATGGCGGAGCCGTCTCGTTCCCGTGGCCCTCTGAGCTCTGTGTAGCAGCTTATTATTTACTTTTCATGACTGGTTGTAGCTTGTGATGATTGTAGGTTGACTCTAGAACCTTGTGGGTGAGTTCAGTAGCAGTGATATAACTACTTTAATTTGGGGAAATTCTTCTAGCCTTTGCCTGGAGGAGAGTTAGCTGTGAACATTGGAATATTAACAGTCAGAATTAAAGATTCATATTTATAACAGAATAAATAAATAGTCCAGAATGCCTCTTGAGGCCTACCAGATAGAGATTGCAGGAAGTAAACCCTTATTTTAATCAGCATGGCCTTCTGGTTAAAACCGCACAGCTGTCCCCATTTTTTCCTTAAAGGTAAGTGGGCGGTGTGATCAGAAGAGGAAGAAGCCGGTGGAAGGTGAATGAACCAATTTCGAAGAAGAATAGGTAGAAATGCCAAGAATTGCAGAAACAATACTGGGGAAAGCCACTGGATCAGTGGGGCAGAAGCAGGAAAGGAGGCTGTGTGAGGAGGGGAAGGTTGTGAACAGCAACAAAGGCAGGCAGGTGTGCCTGTGTGAGTTCCTCCAGCGGTGCTTACAGGACAGCTGGGCCGAATATTAAGGGCAGTGGGGTCGTTGGGCTGCTTCTGATTTTCAAGGCAGTTCTCCAATGTGGGAGACCCAAATTAATGCTCAGCTGGGATTTTTCTTTTCCTTTCATGTAGGAAGTGGCGCTTCAGGATGTCCGGAAAGAGATCAACTTCTGCCATAAGGTGAAGCTACCTGTCATTGGAGTTGTTGAAAATATGAGTGGCTTCGTATGCCCAAAATGTAAGGTATTGTCTTAGAAATCTCTTTTAATCATGATAATTATTCTTGCAGAGTCAAATCCTTTCATGGTGGGTTTCTGTTACCCCACCCAGTCATTAGAATTTCTTCTCCCTTTATCCCTAGTGCTGCCAAAACGGCCGTCATGTTAATTCCAGGGAGCATCTGCATCCAGCCAAGCTTTTAGTTCCTGTTTTCCCATTTCTCTCTCTTTCCTGGGCCTTTGCACCTGGGGCAGTTGAGGCTAATGCCTCCACTCCAACCCTGAGCAGCTGGCCAAGGAGGCTGGGGAGGGGCGTCCCTCCCTGGGGGGGTGCTGCAGGCTGAGTGTCACTGCTCTGGGCTGCAGTGGAAGAGTCCTCTCTGTGGCACAAACATTCAGCCCCGAATCCTCATTTCTGGTACATCTTAGAGCCTGATTGACAGTTTCCCCTTTTACAGAAAGAGTCCCAAATATTTCCTCCCACAACTGGGGGTGCAGAGATGATGTGCCGCACCTTAAACGTGCCTCTCCTGGGAAAAGTGCCTCTTGATCCTCAAATAGGTAGGGTAACCTATTGGAGCATTTTTTGGTCTCAAGTTTCAGTGAAAACCCCATGAAATTCAGAAGGGCTTAACATTGCTTCAGATTTGCTATCTCTGTTCCTTAAAGTCGATGAGGCAATCTGTTGGGGAACTGAAGAGAGACATTTGTATTTCTCATTTTTGATCATTTGACTGAATTTTTATCTTCCCTTTTCCCCTTTCCTCGAGCAGGAAGAAGTTGTGACATAGGACACTCTTTCTTATCTGAAGCACCAAATTCTCCAGCTACTCTGTCCTACAGGAACATTATCCAAAGTGAGTTCAGCCCCTTGAAGGTTTAATCCAAGCACTTCAGATCTTCCTCTTTTTACATTGTATTGGAGAGCAAATCTCCGTGGCCCCGCGGAGACAGGTGCCGTCCATCTCCTTTGGGTAATAGTGGCCCCTCAGGCCACAAGAGAGCCACCTTGTGGAATTCGTGCATATGGGCCGGAACACTGCTGGAGAGGGAGGCGTCTCAGGGTTGGAGTCCAATGGCTGCTTTGGGTCTTTCTGCAGGAATCCAGGACTACTGTAACCAGAACTCCCCACAGGAAGAAAAAACCATTTGAGTAGCAAATAAATGGGGATCCTTTATGCATATCTATACAGGTGTACAAGTATGTATATGCAAATAAATGTCTTTGAATAATACTTGCCAATCAGAGGTGTTTTTCTGAGGACAGCATTTCTAAACTTTCCAAAATGGGCTGAGTTTTGTTCCTAGCAGCAGATCTGCTTGTCGTGATTTGATAGCTTCTCTTAGTAATTGTCTTCGCTAGTGAAATCAGCCATTGGAGACATGTTCAGAGGCTGAGGTTGCTTTTATTGAGAAACACATACATCTTTTTTTTCTATTTTAGGACTGCTTTAAGTCAGTTCTATAGATTTGGTTTTAATCTTATTCTTCAGGGGTTTTGGAAGGGTGATACTGACAGGGTTCTGTTCTCCAGAGAGACCGTGTAGTGACATGTTAGTTCTTTTAAGAATACAAATAAAAATAACTCATCTTCTGTTTAGTTATAAGGAGAGGGCTCACTGTTTCATTTCCCCATCTGCTTCTCAGACCAAATGTTCTTGCTGAGAGCAGGGAGAAGGCACAGACTGGGGGCAGAGGCCCTCCTGTCATGCCCCTTGCTGCTTCCCAGGGGGAGATTTGCAAGAGTGGTGACTGGCTGGCGCCCCCAACATCCCCCACAAGTGTACTGGGGATTAAAAAAAAGTGCGTATGTGCACATGCACACACAGTCCCTGCTGGAGAGCCATAGAAAGCCACTCACAAGTGCTGAAATGACATGTAACAAAATCTGAGCCGGGCTGAATTTTTGTGCCAAGCCTGCTGGAGGCCCCCGTTTTGCAAGTGAGCATCTAAAGCCGTTGGGCGCACAGGCTACGGGGGAATGCCTCTGAAGCTGTCGGGAGGGGAAGAGGTTTCCATTCCTTCCTCGCAACCTGAGAAGCCAAAATTCCTGTTAGGGATCAGATCCTGGACTTCGGTATCAGAATGCCAAACGCTCCAGCAGAGGAAAAGGCTAGAACGGTTTCCTAGAAACAGACCATAATGCCAGAAAGCGTCATGTGGGATGTGAAGCGAGGAGGAAGCGGCGGCGGCTTTTGCTGCGTTGGCCCTTCTGAAGCGAAGGACAGCCCGTCTCGGTTTAGTGCAGAAACCGTCCTCCAGGGACTTCCCAGACATCTCTGTTTTAAGGGCTTGGTGTCCCTAGATGCTTCAGGACATTTTTTTGAAATTCCTCGGATCGTTCCTGCAGTAGAAATAAAACAAGGCTTGTGCCAAAGAGGTGGAAAACTAAGCAAGCAAGCTTCAGTCATGTTTGTAGATGCCTTATATCCCAGTGAACAGAATTCAGGCGTTCCAGGAGTACTTGAGGAACAATTCTAGCTCGCTTTAGCACTTTCCCTTCTCCTGTTGCACCAAATGACTTCGCTTCCTCCTGATGCTGCTTCATGCAGCCTAACCCTTTCTCTGCTTCTTCTTCTGATTCCCCTGTCTAGGAAAGATGCAAAAGCAGAAGGGGGGGGTCTCCTCCCCTTCCCCAGAAGAGAGTTTACATGAGAATTATATTGGGTCTGCTTTCAAAAGAAAGACACGGGCGATGTTGAAGTCAGAATTCTTGCCCAAGAAAGGGGAGAGGCTGCTCCCGGTTTTTTGCGTCCCCCACTCCCATTTGCCATTTTAGAAGGTGAGCCATGTGAACTGCTTGGCCCCATTTGAGAGGGGAAGGTTAGGAAGTTGCACGCCTTCCTGGAAGGAGCAGGTCCCGTCAGACACCCAACTGGTCCTGAAGTGGCAAACGGTATCAAGTTAGCAGCTGGGTGGCTGAAGAAGATCTTGAACTCTAAGAAAAGGAATGCATGCTCCAAAGCTCCTTTGGTCCACCAGATGCTTCTGGGGGCTGAGGCTACGTGGTGAACTTCAGGTGTCCTTTGGTGATTAATAGAGCTGGAATGGGGGCTACCTTCTCTCCTTGTCTGAGTGTGCCTGTTTAAAAAGCCACCTATATTTCCACCCTTCCCCATTTATGCTTCACTCCTGAAGTTCACCTGAAGTTGAACAACAGGCTCTCCAGCTCACCGTTTGAAAGATCTCCTGTGTTGGAAAGCGTGTGGTGACTTTGCAGATGGTTTGCGTGGTTCCCCCTAGTTTACAGTGGATGTAGCCGTAAAGGTTAGCTGTTTGGAGACAGATGCCCGTTACTGCCAGTGCCTGGAACACAGAGCATAAGAGCTGCAGACCAACAGGCAGACCTGTAAAGGCTTCAAGGCTTCAGGAAACGGAGAAAAACTCTGATGTGGCCTGGGAACTGGGAGAGGACATCTCACTCAGAATAAATTGGATGGCTGGGTGGATGAGGATGACTTCAGAAAAGCAGGCTCTTTCAGGTTTTTTATGGCTGTGCAGAGCACCTACACAAGGCAGTTCTGTTACAAATTCAAGTTCCTGAGAACCTGAGGGTCTTTTTAAGTTTCTGTCCTCTAAGGGTGCAATGCTGTTCCCATCTTCTTGCCCAGGGAATTTTTTAGCATGTGTTAAAATCCCCACCAAGAGGGCCCTAAGCAGCCTCTGATGCAGGCTTTATTTCATCTCCACCTATTCACAAACTATCTAGCAACAGTTGCCAAGCATTTGGGCAAAAGTGCCACATTCTGAAAGGATGCTTAATGAGTCCCAAGGGACTCCCCTCTGCCAAGCATTGGCCAGCCCTTACCAGCCATTTCAGCTTCAAAGAGAACAAGGTGCTAAAAAAGAAAAGGGTCCAGATAACAGGACAGATGATCAGCCCAAGCCAGAAGATCCGTGCTTCCACTTCAGTGGGGGAAGCTCCAGTAGACGGGCCCTTAAAGGGAAAAAAAGCAAATTACTTTAAAGCATGTACACGTGGGCGTTGCACTCAGCTCAAATCTCTGCAAAACAAAATTCAGTAGAAATGGGAACAGATACAGTCTAATTTTAAGAAAAAACAGATTCACTTCTTCAATGCTAGGCAGCAAACTTCCTTAAAATGTGATGTTTCAATTGTCATTGTGGGGTCCAAATAGACAAAACTTAATTTCTAAAGCGCACAAGGCTTTTAGACCACCCTTTTCCAGGGAGGAAATTACAAGTCCCCACATTCCCAATTATCACGGCCACGTTAGCTGGGGATTATGAGGGTTACATTCTGACATCTTGTTGCCCCCAGGCTGGAAAGAAGATGCTAAGATTTACCATGAGGGAGAAAGGCCTCTTTTCTCCCTCTTGTATTTAAATATTGAATAGCTCCACTTCATAAATTGATCAAAAGGTTCATGTGTTAGAGAGAGAAATTAAGATATCGTAAAGGACTACCTTCTTTGCCTCAAACACCCAGTGGCTCTTCCCATCCTCGTCAATCTGATTCCACCATCGCAAACCGACCAGCAGTCTTCCGGTGACGTTCTAATGGCAGAAGTGAAAACCAGCATGCGCTTTAGGGAGAGGTCACGTTGAACAAAGATGTCAGTTGTGATTTTTTTGAACTGCAGAAATGCAGCCGGGCCTGGCAGCTTAGCTAAACCAGGCTGGGTCCACCAGAGCCAGCATCTCTCCATTCTCTGGGTTAAGAACCCCTGCCCCATAATTTGGAAAAGTCAGTCATGACTTGCCCATCAGAACCCACCATCGAGGGCTGGTGCTGCAACACTATGACTTTGCCTGCTGGTGATTAAGGAAGATGGTGGCCCACAGTCTGGCGGGCACCTGGTTCATTGGATATGGAAATCTATGGAGGAAGATTTCTCCTTTTTTTGCAGTTGCTGCAACTGTGGTATTTAAATCAGTCTCTCAGATGGCTTGGTCCTGGTTTAGACCGCTTAAACAGCTGGTGATGACCAATGCACCATCTTTCAAGAGGCCTCCTCTCTTTTTATCTAGGAGAAGAAAGTGCCTCTTCCATAACTGGCCCCTGTTAAATGACAGATTCATATCCAATAAAGCAAATACAATGTTTGCTTCCTCAGTATTGCTTTTATCTGCATGCCAATGGAGAGCTAACATTCACCATTAGGTTTTCTTAAACTCAGGTAGTGAAAAGGAAGCTGAGAAAGGAGCTCAGTGGCTCTCACTCTGGGCAGCTGGTGGCAAGAAGATTCCCTGACCTTGTTAGCTGCCATGTCTAAGGGCACAACAGAGCAAGGAGACCCAGCAGTGCCTTTGGGGGGGAGGCCAAAAGAAGGCCTACCTTCACGGACCAGAAGTCGAAGGAGAGGAGGAGGAGAATGATGAGAAAGCAGGCGATGAAGCTTTTGCTAAACCAGTCGCAGAAGAGGTAGGTCATGATGGCACTCACACGGAAGAAGAGATGGAAAAAGGTGGCCAATGGGTACCTAGGAAGGAACAGTCCAGAACGTAGGCAGCTGCCTTCTCCCAACCTGATTCTTGGTCCCCCGGTCCAATCTTGTAGCTGCTCCCCAGAGTTTCAGAGGGGTCTTTCCCAGCAATCCCTGATCAGTGCTGGAACATTCTGCCTGGAAAACAGCAGCGCTGTATGGGCTGGAACCTTCTCCCCACCACCCGCACGCCCCCCTTATGCGGCACAAGAAGAGTCTGAATCAATTTTCCACGTCGCCTCCAGCTCCAGATCCTCTGACGCCAACCACATCAAGACCCTCGGCAAGGAGTGGGAGAATAGGTCCTCCCTGTGGTCTGTGAAGAGGAGGAGGAGCGAGACAGTTCGGTTCTTCCCCACCTCGGGACGCCTCGGATTAGGAAGCTGGCTGGGAACCCTGTCTGCCCAACAGCCTTCTTATAGCGAAGGTCCCTGGGGTGCCTCTTAAGCAGCAAAAGATTGGGCACGAGTCCAAAGGGACGGCTGGGAGCACGTCCTGTTTTTTCATGTCCTGAGTTCTGTAACTTCCGGCTGGACAGCTTTTCAACAGACGGCCCTGCAGCTTTCACGTTGCAAAGCTCAGTTGATACAGAAAAGTCACCAGAGAGGTGACAACTTCTAGCTTCAGTAGTAGTAACATTAGTGTTATTGCTGTTATTGTTATCATCTTTCCACAAAAGTTTGGAAAACAGGTATCCTGTTAGAAGCCTTTAACGTATGGTTAATGCAGGATTTCTTTGCTGCGTTTACTATGGCACTCTCCTGGATGAGGGTTAGGGCCAGATGGAGCTGGCCGGGCACCGGATCACCGTTCACTGCTTACTTTCTGGTGAAGCTCTGCCACAACAGTGAGCAGGACTGCACCGTGTGTTTACATTAGTCGGTGAGCTTGAGAAGAAAGTCAGACGGGGTATCTGTTTATACCCAGGCATATTCCAAGGACACGGACTTACGGGGTGATCTAATATTTACATAGCTTATCGACACAAGGCACAAGAGAGAAGCGAGGAGAAATATTTTATTTGTACATGTGCGTTTCAGTAAAAGAACCCTCTTTTGGATAGTTCTGAACCCAAATAACGGAGGTCACAATATTTAATTAATCAGGTAATTTGAAAAGCAAATCCAAAACATTTAGGCTGCTGTCCTAGACTCGAATAATAATAACAATAATTTCTTAAACTTGTATGCCACCCAACTCTCAATGACTCTGGGCAGCTAATTAATTTGGCAAATTGGTTTACTAAATGCCATACACCCCAAAGGCTAAGATCAGCTAATAGCAACGCAATGCGGTAACAGCTTACAAAATAAAGACATGAATTCTAACGCCGCTTTCTGCCAAATAAGCCCCAAAGTCAACTGAGCAGAAAAAAACAACCTCAACTAATCAAGCAGAAACTCAAAAAGAAGTTAGTGTTCTCTGTGCAGGGGGGGGGCACACATGCATCTTGCATTAAAAATAGGTATGTCTATAAAGCCGATAAGAACCGCAGAAGGCCCACGGCACGATCTCAGAAGAGGCATCCTTTCCCTTACGCTTACCTGACTTTTGCTTTGCTTAACGCCAGCTCCTCTTCGTTTCCAAAGTCCAGTGACACATCTTCCGTGTCATCTGCTAAGGCCTGGAAAAGATGAGCCATACGTGAGCATCACAAACCCACGCCGACAGAGAAATGCATTAGAGGAAAGGCATGAGAAACACTCTTCCTCCTCTACTTTGCCACGGCAGAGGGAAAGCCAGTCCTGAAGACCCCGGGCTGGCAGCAGGCAAGACCAGGCCCCTTTCTACCCCCAAAGACAAGAGCTTTGACCCCCCTCCCCGTCCCCTTTGACTGGCCCTCAGGCAAGATCACGAGACGGAGCAATGTCGGTTTCCGGCTGAACCCCTTATCTCTGCTCCTGCTCCAACCATTCTCCTTCCTCGGTTTTTCCAAGCAGCTTTTCAGGGCCCCACCAGGTGTTTCTTCCCCTCTTTTCGTGCCAGGCCTCTCCCGCTCCAGCTGGCTGCCCACACGCATGGAGGTGCCTCTTCCCAGTCTTGGAAAGCGTGGCAGCCTCCGTTTGGACTGAATTCATCATGTTCTCATAAAACAGATGGCCTCCCTCCCTTTGTTTTTCAGCAACGCCACGCGCGCGTGTGCACTAACGCTCAAGGCCTTCCTCCAGAAATAAGATGCATTTCAAAATAAGCTAATCCCACATCTGGTTGCCACATTATCTATTTTATCTTTGTGGTCTGATTGTTGAAGACCCTCCCAGGCCCCCTTTGTGCCGGACAGTGGAGAGCTCTCTCCCTGGTACCCCTCGCTTACACACAGACAGCCGCTCTAGGGGCAGCACTGCAAATTTGCCCCAACACCCAGGCATCCTATAGGCCCAGAGCCAACCCATAATACTCGGTTTTCCTCCCCTTCCCCTCCGCCCCTTCTCCCCCACCTGCTTCATCTTCTTGGCTCGGCCTCCTCCTCTTCCTCTCTGGCCTCTGCGGATGTGATGCCGGATCCACCTGCCTGCCTCCTCCTGGCCGTTGCTATGACGACCAAAGCGGGATGCTGCTGAGGCCGCAAGGGCAGGCTGGGCCAGAGAGGCGGAGGACCGCCTGGCTTTGGGATGCCAGGCAGCTTCGGGGTGACAGACCAATCTTGAATGGGTTTGGGCTGGTCCCTTAGTCCCCCATTTTCAGGTAGTCCCCGGGTTAAGAACGCCCAGTTAAGGACAACCCATAGTTAAGAACTGAGCCTGTTGTAGCAAAATTTGAGTTAAATACACGATTTGAGTTAAAAACACAAGGGTTCAGGTTCATTACACAAGACTGCTTATACAGTATTCTACAATAAGACTCTGCCGGCTTACATACCAATTCGACTTCAGGAAATGGAAAGCGTTCTTAAAGCGGGGATTACCGGCTCCGGCCCATCCTCCACCTTCATTGCTGCACGCCAAAGGGTGTTACCTGTTTCCAGGCGGACTGCCTTCACGGAAACAAAAGGAGCTACTGCATTATTATTACACAGTTGAAATCGGGCCAAGAATGCAAAGCCTGTAGAGGTGAATATGTGTAGCTCAGGGTTGAACTGTGGATGTTACCTAGCCGGGTAATGAAACGTTTGCAAGAAAGAACCAAGCTCAGAGAACCCCAAAACTCCACGTGCAAAACCTGGCCGGAAAAGCCGCGGCAGGGAAGGCTCAGCCGTAACGTGGGAAGGGGCTTCCAGGCCTCCTCGGCCCCCCCACCCCGGACTGTGCTCGCACGTGGCGTGCGTTGGAACGGCTCAGCGCCCGGAATTCCCCCTCCCGTGGCTAGGCGCTCCCGCACATCTGCGGTTTAGGGAGGCCCCTTTGCAGGAGGCGCGCCCCACCCGGGCCCTTGGAACGGAGCCGGCCGGGGAGGCCGGTTCTGTCCG